AAATTTAAATATTAAATTTCAAGGAAATTTGTTGATTATTTATTTTTTTTTACAAAAACGAGAAAAAATTGAGTTGAATATGTCAACGCCGTACGAATTTGTTGTCTTACGTGCAAGTAAATATATCATAGCTGACTATGACACAGTCTATGACTAAGTTGCCGAATTAATTTAATCAAAATTTCAGTACTGTGTTTCAAATATTTTCTAATATTATCACACATATCAGCCCTAATAATATACTCGTTTTCGCGGAGTTTGTATATTTAACTCTAACAATTTCTGAGATATTTTTGGAGTTGTAAGGCAGTTTTCACAAGTGCTCATGACATCTCAACAAGTTTCAACGAATATAGCTGCCATTTTACTGTATTTCATTTTGCAAAATTTCAGTACTACGGGTTGAACAATTTTTAAGATATAACCTAACGTCTTTACATCTAACAAGTCCTAACACTCAATTTTTTTTACGAAATATTACGAATTTTTGGCTTCGTTCCGGTTTTTTTCTTTAAATGCTACTGATCGTGTCACATCTGTTATTATTTTCTTTTTTTTACGTAAAAAAGAATTTAATATTTTAAAAAATCTCAGGATATGTATAATATTTTTTGAAAAGCTTCCATTTAAATTCTATTGCACGAAAAAGAAAGAAAGGTAGGAGGAAAGAAAAAATGAAAAAAAATTTCAAATTCATATTTCAGTTTGGTTTCAAATGTTAATGAGAAAGGATGTATGATTTTTTATGCACATTTTGTATTTTCAATAAGGTAAGATGAGTAGTGTCGGCTAACAAAAATGTTAATAAAAGTAATATAGGTTGAATATATACTTAGGTAGGACATTTCAACAATTTGAATTATCTCATTTCGGTCATTTATACGTTACCTATAAAATTGTTTCAAATAATTTCCGTTAGTTTTTAAGTTATTAAAAATAAATATGTATGTACCTACTTCCAATAAATTTTTTTTTAAATAATTATTTTAAAACTATTTCAAACATGTTATATTGAGTGCTTCAAAAATTTTGCTGTGCTCTTTTTTCATATTTTGTTAGCAGGTAAAAAAGAGCAATCTATTTATAAAATGGCCCTGCCTGTGTATGAGTCTTAATAGTAAACGCAAACGGACAAAAATTTCCGGATATCATCACCTACTACCTGTCATTTTACAATCGAAGTTTTTGAGTTATTTGCTATTCGTAAGATACTATTTATTTCAAAAATAAAAAAGATATTCGAATCCGGTCATAAAAATATATTATTGTCTTTTCCAAAACCTTTCAAATATTTTTTACTTAGGTAGTATATTAAGTTTTAAAATTTTTTCTCACAAATAGAGGTAAAATTTAGAAGTGTATATAAAATTTGTATTTAAAAAATAATATTTGATTGTATTTTAGATATTATTTTCTAAATCCCTCTTCAAATTTTTTCTCTACTATGTATTTATATCAATATTCAATAATTATCTTTCATTAATTATATTTTCAACTTGACACCACAGTTACTTTCCATATCTTGACTTAACTTACCCTACAAGAAAAAAAAGCTGTTCACTTAAAAATAATGAAATGCTTTCAGTAACATATAAAACCTTGAAGGCTAAGGTTGTGCTTGTTGCTTTTCCGCTGTTTCAAGAATTTAAAAATAATTATGAATGAAAATATTAATATATTTTTTTTGATTTTTTGATATATTTTCTAAATTTTACCTGCTCTATAATAAGTGTGAATTTATTTTAATATTTCTTCTCAAAAAATAGCCACTTCGATATAAAAAAACCCATATAAAATAAGGTCGTGCTTTCAAGTTTCTCTCTGAACATTAAGACTTGTTAGATATAAAGACATTAAGTAAATAGTATAGGTAAAAAAAATGAGAAGAAAAGCTATTCACTTAAAAACAGCGTTCCCACTTGGATACATTTTTGCTTTAAATTTGAGCTTGGATACAAAGATACTCAAATCTGCTAAAATGCCGAAATTGTTTTTTGATACACTAAATAAATATTACAAAACAGTTAAAATGCTGCTAATATTAAATCGCGAAGTTGCTTTATCATCAATAAATGTTATTTGCTGGCTATTCTATTAACTGCCTCTTCCTGTATTCAAATTTAGAAAATTCATACAAGAACGTACCACAAATATTTTAGTGTTAGCTAGATGTAATAGAAAATGCATTGGATGGACATATTTTTTAAAATTTGTCCGTTTTCATGGTCAATCGTCTTTACCACATAATTCAACAACTACAGAAGGCATATATGCATATGTTTTTTCTGACCTTAACTTTCACATTTAAAATAGAAGTTGTATGTGATTTCTTATAGAATTTAGTATAAATAACAAAACTCATATTGTGGAATAAAGCAAATTAATATTAATTATGGGTTAATTTGTACAAAATAAGACGACTTATTATAATAATGCTATTTTAGGAGGTTGGATACATTTTGGATACATTTTTTTCTCGAAATTGGATACTTTTTGTTTTTCGAGTGGGAACACTGCTTAAAAATAATGAAATGCTTTCAGTAACATATAAAACGTTGAAGGCGCAGATTGTGCTTGTTTTTTTTTCCGCTGTTTTATATGTATTTTAAGAATTTTAAAATAATTTAGAATGAAGACATTAATATATATTCTTGATTTTTCAAATATATTTTCGAAATTTTACCCGCTTTATAATAAGTGTGAATTATTTTAATATTTCTTCTCAAAAAATAACCACTTCGATTTAAAAAAACCCATATAAAATAAGGTCGTGCTTTTAAGTTTCTCTTTTAGCATTGGGACTTGTTAGATATAAAGATATTATATAACCAAATAACTTTTCAAGTTGAATGTCATCTACCAGTAGGAGCCAAGCAATTTCAACGAAATTTATAAAAAGCATGGGCCCTATTAATATATTCGCTTGTGCGAAATTTCAATGCCACAGCTTTCAAAGCTTCTGAGATATAGTCAAATAACTGCTGAAGTTGTATGGCAGCTACCAGAAGCAGCCAAGAAATTTCAAAGCTTTTATTAAACACATTGGCCCTACATATATATATATTTGCTTGTGCGAAATTTCAATACCACAGCCTTTATAGTTTTTGAGATATGGCCAAATAAATTTGGAAGTTGTATATTATAAATTTGTTAAGTTGTTTCCAAATAAATTTGGAAGTTTTGTGTAATTTAAATAGGATTCTGACATTTACTATAATAAACCATTTGTGAAAATTTGGTGAATTTAGTTCAATTAGTTTTTGTTTTTTTTTTTTAATAAATAAAAATAAGGGGGATAAAAAATTATTTATAATTACTTTAACGTTTATAGTTATAATTAACATTTGTCGGCTTTGTTTTGCAAAAATTTTGGAAAGAGACAAAATCTGTAATTCGAGGAACTATGGAAATAGGGCTGCCGTTTGATTTATTAAAAGAAGATTTTTTTTTTATTAAAAACACAATTCCGAAGAGAAAGTAATACAGACTTTTAACCAAGAACCTTAACATATACAAAATAAATAAAAAAATTATTTTGTTAATGTGTAAATCACACCATTTAAAATTTTTCATGAAGCTTATGCAAAGAAATGTCGTATTTACAGTAAGTCAGCAAAAAATATGCCTTTGCAAAAAAAATTCTGTCGATTCTCGACATTGTTTAATATGCGTTAGACATATACATATTAAAATTTTTCAAAATAAGTTTTTGCTAACTATCAACTAGGGCCCTGTTGCACCAATAACTTATGACTTACTACTTTTCAACTTACCAAAAAATTTGCGAAACTTTCGTTGCACCAAAAGTGAAAATGATAAGTACTCAATAAGCTTATCAAAACTAAAAAGAACTCACTTATCAGATTAGCGTTGCACGAAAAAAAAAGCGTAAGTAATTTTTTGTTTAAAGATAAGCGATAAGTTTATCAAATTACCTAAAAATAAGCAGTTTTGGTTGCACCAAAAATTTTTACTTGTCACTTCGCATTAAATTATTTGATAACTTATCGACTTTTTTGATTAGAGGAATTTCCCTTTTCATATTTTGCTAAGTAAAAACTTTTTTTTGAATTTAAAGTAAAATAAAGAAAATTGTATTGCATTTTATTATACAAATGTAAATTAATGCGTAAAATAGCATAAATGTGTATTTATATAAATTATGCTATGGGCAAGGTGATTTCAATTAATCAGTATTCATAAAATCCGGCTGCATCGGACATTATGAATAATGATCAATGTGCACAACATTGCCCATAATTAATATTATGTATATATGTTACACTTATGTATGTACATACATATATGGTATATGTACATTTTATACTATGAGGTTTAAGGGAAAGTTAAGCCTAGAATCATTTTTGATAGAATAATTAAGGCAATAAGTAGTTTAAAATAACATGTTTATTGAGTTTCGAGTAACGTTTAGGAGTGCTCTAAAAATATATAATTAAATGAAAAAATTAAAAATTTTTTCTTTTGAATTTGTTCGTTTCATTTTTTTTTTGTGTTTAACAAAAATTAATATTAAATTTTGATATTGAATTTTGAAACTAAATCCAATAAGGAATAAAACTGTAATGATAAGTTCTTATCAAATTATAAAAATTACGATACGTTTGATAAGTTTGCAACTTTTAATGTGCAACACTTATCATAATTACTTATCAACAAATGATAAGTTGCAAAGTTGATTATTGAGTGAAATTTGTAAAACTTTGATGCAACACTTACACACTTATCTTATCAGAAAAAAACTTATTTTGTAAGGTGATAAGTGATAAATGATTGGTGCAATAGGACCCAGGTTCCTAATTGGACGCATAATTATCTCCTATAAAACATTTTTATGCCTTGTATAGAGAGAAAATAAAGCTTTCATATTTTACCAGTTCTGTCATTTGTCACAAAAAAAGTCACGCGAACAGTTTTGCATCAAAAATCTTTTTTCTCTAGTAGTAGAGTATATTTATATATTTTTTTTTTATTTTTGACAGGTGATATGGAAAAATTTGCATATTTTTTTGGACCTATCGGAATACTTCTTTTAATTAATTTGGCTCTTTTTGCTTCTACAGCTCAGCAACTAACCTGTGGCTTGTGGAAAATGGAGGAAGTAAAATCAACAAACGAAAAGTAAGAAAGCTATTAAGAACAAAAATAGTTCATAAATTTAGGATAAAAATTCTTTATATAAAATGTTGGTTGCCGTTTCAGTGCAGCGTTGTAAATATTAGGTACAGTTTTAAAGATTCAGTACAAGACACAAACTTTTCTTTCTTAATTTCAAATTTTTCTTTTTTTACACGCATACATATACTTGTGAGTTTCGTTTCTTTTCAATTTCTTAATTAATTTCCTGAGCTTCGCTCAGAAAAAAGATAAACTTACATCCCTTTTTATACTTTTCGCTCAAGAGAGACGAAACATTTCTGTTCGAATTTTAGATATTTTCACTTTTCTTTAATTTTGTTGTTGTTTGGCCTTCACAAAGTTAGCTTAAGTCAATTAATAATTTACCCAGTTAAAAACCAAGAGTTAAATATTTTGTATTGAACCGCAGTTGTTATGAAATTTTGCTCTTCCTTCAGTTAAAATCATAATTCTTTATTTAGTTTTTTAGCCAAAAGATCTTTTATATTTACAGCGTAATCGGGTATCTCGCTTTTTTACTCACATTGTTTACTTTTACTGACCGTATTGTGTAAACAATAGGTAGGTTATGTGATGGTAACAAATTTTGCATATCGAGTTTTCGGTGGGAATGCACTTCTCCATAGTGGGAAGTGTAAGTAAACTATTTTTAGCAACCTGTCGGTCCGTCGGTCTGTCGGTCTGTGTGTGCACGCGTGTATCTCAAGTTCTGCTGAACCGATTTTGATGAAATTTTATATGTAAGTTTATTTCCACCATGGCACGGATTGATCAACTTTTGGGATATATCAGGCCTCGGGAACTGCACTTTTTAGCGGCCTGTTTTACATTTTTGAACATTTTGAAGAAAGTATTCGACCGATTTACTTGAAATTTCATATATAACCTTTGCTCGATCGTCTGCGAAAATTCCTATGTTTTGGAAGAAATCAGGCATCGGCAACTAGACGTTTACTACGGGCCAAATATTCATTTCTGTGTATAAAAAGAGAAATAACCAACCGATTTCATTGAAATTTAATATATGGACTCCTCGTATCAAAACAATGAACATATAAATTTTTTGGAAAGATCAGGGCTCGAAAACTGAATTGCGGGCCGATTTCACATTTTTCACCATTTTGAAGAAAATATTTCACCGATTTACTTGAAATTTCATATATAAGCTTTGCACGACCGTCCGCGAAAATTCCTAACTTTTGGAAGAAATCAGGCATCAGCAACTGGACGTTTACTACGGGCCAAATATACATTTTTGTGTGTATAAAGAGAAATAATCAACCGATTTCATTGAAATTTAATATTTGAATTCCCCGTATTAAAGCAATGAACATATAAATTTTTTGGAAAGATCAGGCATCGGCAACTAGACGTTTACTACGGGCCAAATAAACATTTTTAGGAATATAAAGAGAAATAATCCACTGATTTCATTCAAATTTAATATATAAATTCCTAGTATTAAAACAATGAACATACAAATTTTTTGGAAAGATCAGGGCTCGAAAACTGATTTGCGGGCCGATTTTACATTTTTCACCATATCTACGGAACGAATTGATGGGATTTCATGAAATTTGATATTTGAGTTCTGGGCATTATCAAAACTAACTGGTGGGCATTTCAGGGAATTCGCATAGCACAAAACGAAACTGTACTAAGAGCCAAATTTACATTTTTCAAGATATGTTAACTATAAGCTTACAAATGCCCTTAAAATTGGAAAGAAGTACTTAACAGACATTTTTTTAATATTCTGTAACACTTTCACTCAACTAGACAATACACAATGCGGTCGGTTATGTGCTGACACATCAGATTTTTTTATCTTTGCTTATTTACTTTCAAATCAGAATTTTTCATTTTTCAATTATATTACTTACTTTTTAAATTGGATTTTTGCATTTTTCCTCAAATTAACGACTGAACGTCTCACTTCAAAAAACAAAGTGTAAATTTGAGAAAAAAACGATATAGGCAATACTGAATAATTCTTTTAACGCGAAAATTACATTATACAAATATATGATAGTTACTCACTTTCTTGTCACTTGCCGAGTAAAATAGCGAGATCAGGCCTATAAAGTTTCATTTTTAATAACTTAATTAAAAAGCAGTGGAAACGACCCCTGCGTAGCTACTGCACCTTTGCTTTTCCAGTAGCGGAGGATCGACCAGGAAATGCCTTACCGTCTGGTATTTGTTCCTCGAAATACTGGCAGTCAGAGCCGGACTCGCAGATTTTAAGGCGACTTTCAATTTTTCTGGCGGGCCCGGCCGCCTTCTTTCATCTACGTCTCCTAAAGGGCATCTTTTCTGGTGACGATAGAGCTGGTCAAAGCCGAACGATGGCCTGTAGTCAATCCGCTCCAGTGCCCGAGGCGAAACCTCATCATCGGCCACTGTCAAGAATTGACTTCTTAACCCGACCAAGAACACGCCAGTTTTAAGTTAGCGGGCTGCTATTCTGCTTGCTCAGCCTGCTGAGAATGCTTCTTTCGGTCAATTTAAGACAAGCAGACCATAAGTTTGCACAGATCAGCACCCTACACCACACTTAATTATGCTCCCTCACACAGAGGAAGTTTTGGGACGACCTCCTTTAGCCAGTTCATACTCGTTTTATTGACTCAAGTAATTGAAAGCCAGCTTGGCTTTCGAGTTGCCTCTGCAAAGCGGACCTGTCCCCTCATGGGAGTTTACTCCATTTGTTTGAGGACCTCACGCTGTACCGCCTTCAGTGCTTCACTTTCATGAGAAGCATACGTCTCCGCGTATAACACATGTGACAATTTTGGCCTCTTCTGCGCCTCCGGTGGCGTACAACTGGCTGTCCGGTCCCTCTAATTTTTAAAGGATGCCCGATCATCCTGTCCGCGTAACACCGTTGGATTGAGGGGTTGGGTCTTATTGAAGATATGATTTAACCTTTGCTTCACGCCCAGCGATATTCTTTTAGTTTGTAACCTTCCTCCCTTATCGGCGTGGTTGAACCTGCAATACCATAAAGCTCAAAAAGATCATGATAGAAAGCGTGTGGTCGAACAGTTTGTTACTGGAAGGAGATTGATAAGTGAACAGTTAATTACTGGAGAGAAAAAGCATGAGCAGTTTGTTACTAGAAAGAGATTGTAGCCATTATGCTATTAAAAATAATCATTGAGCTTCCAAGAACCTATTCAAACCGAGTCGGAAGAAGAATTTTTCACATGTCCAAAAGTAGTTGTGGATATCTAAGTATCTCTCACTATATAACTCTTACTACAAACTCTTATACAAATTACTTTTGTAAATCAAAGATTGCTAAAAGTTCTTCTTTTCAGTCGTTTTATATGAGCCATACGCTCGTAGTAGTTTTAGTAAGTTCCCAGTTAATAGTAGACAGAGTTTAAGAAAAAATTGTATGAGGAAATGTATCTGCGTGCGCTGATAATTTAATCTTTCAACTTTTAAATAAATTTAATTTTGTGATATTTATTTAAAAGCTGAAAGAAAATTTTATTCATATACTGAAAATATTTTACATAACATATGTATATGGTATACATGGTATAATATTATACATATGGTATAGTATTTTTTTTTCAATTTAAAAATTTTTAAATAAAAATTCCTTGAGCACCAAACGCTTTTTATTTTTTTCTTATAAACCTATCAAACAAATATGTTGCAAAATTTGTGTCAAAACTTATGGTTCGGACAAAACTAAGACCTAAACAAAGGTCATAGTGTTAGACAATCGCATTTATAAAAGAAAAGTGTTGGTAAATTGAAACGTTTCCATAAAAATCAGTTACACATATATTACAAAAGAGGGATCATACGCATTTCAAATTTCGTGTCTGTTAAGTAGCAAATTGAACAGAAAGCAGCAAATACTTGTACTAATAACTCCAAAATTATATAAAGATTAATCTTTATACAAAGTTTTTTTATTTTATGATATACATACGTTACATTTTTCTAAATTTTAATTCTAGTTAGCAAATTTTTTGAGCTAATAATAATTCTGTTTATCTCAAATTTGTGGCTTCTGCATAATTTTTGTTTTCAAAAATTGCGAGGTCTTACATGCACATGATCGTCAGTAGCTCACACGTACACTTCAAACCACAATCATTTTAATAATAATGCAATTTTATTCAGTTTTGAACCAAAATATTCCAGGAGTTCGATTGGAAGACTTTGCCTTAAGTTAGTAATCGTGATGGGAGTTACATGGATTGCTGATATTATATCATGGCTCGTTGGTGCAGATGGTCCTACAATGGATGTAAAATCGTATGGCGTAAAACATTTTATTTGGTATGGAATTTGGTATATAATGGATTTTATTAATGCATTACAAGGTGTTTTCATCTTCATAGTTGTTGCTTGTCAGCCTCAGGTATACTTTTTTTTTCTGTAATATTATAAGTATATTTTAATTTTTTTTTATTTTTACAAAGTGTGCGTTGCTTGTTATTGAATTTTGTAATTTTTTTAATTAACATTATGAAAACGAAAATAGGAATAATAAACTGATTAATCATTTTGCGGTTGTTAAGTGTTACCTTTTGGACAGTTTGTGTTAAATTTTTAAAGCCTGTTTACATACGGTTGCAATTATTATATGATTTCTTTTTTGTTCATATTGTGTTTCAATTGATTACCGTATAAAAATGGTGCAGGTAAGAATCGTTTAAAGTGATTGGAATACTTTTTCGAAAGATTCATTTTAACACCACTTTATATACTGTTCAGTCGAAAAAATCAAATAATGATTAAAATAAATTTTTTCTTTTGGAATAATATTAAGATTAATGTTGTGAATAATTACATAACAAAGATACTTGATTTCGTTTTTTTGATAATTATTAATGACAACAATGTGAATAACAGTAAGAGAAAAGTAATTCCATCCATCTCCAATGTAGTCGCAAATGGTAATGGTAAATCTCGAAAATCACTGAACCAACTTGACAGCATTAATCACTCCAGTTTATCTAACATTTGCATAATAAGACATATTTTTCCCCTTCTTAAACATACACTCTGCGAAATTCAATTAAGACCATTTTCTTTTTTTCGAAAATCTTAAAAACGGTTTACTTTATTTAATAATTTTTAGGAGTAATTTTTTTTATATTTAATTATTAATGTTTTTATAATTTAAAGTTAAATCCTTTAAATGAAATAAACAGCAAAATAACAAAAAACCAACATCCAATTTTTGAACGAAATTCAATTAAAATAATTTTCGAATTTCATATGTTTCATAAATAAAACTTAATAAAAACAAAAAAAAATTTAATGATTTAATAATGTGTATGACCCCCATTTTTATTTATCACTTCAAGCATTCTATTTGGCATGCTGTTGATTAAGTTTCGGAGTTCCCCAATTGAAATATGGCTCCATTCTTTGGCAATAGCTTTATAAATCTCTGCTTTATTACTAAATTTTCGATTCCTGGCAAAAACCCTATTTAACAGTATTCCTCAAAGATTTTCTTTAGGGTTTAAATCAGAAGAATGAGCCGGTCAATCCATTGATTGGATGTTTTTTGATCAAAAATATCTTATAGTGTGGCTAGATTTATGAATCGCTGCGTTATCTTATTGAAAAATTCCATCTGGACTACTGTGATCTTCTCCAAATGGAATCAAAATATCCTCCAGAAGTTCAATATAATCTTCAGAATTCATTCTGGTTGATATTTTCATATTGGTGTGGTTATATATAAATATTTTGCATATTTCGCATTAGTATTTTTGTAAAATAATTGAATAAAAATCTAATCTGTCTATCGTTAGACATGGATGTCTCATTTGAGACATGCAATCCATCAATTCTATTACTGATAAACTTAGTGGAAAGGGTGGTGTCAAGAACCTCTTCCCTAATTGCATTTATGAATGTCGGCTTTCTTATTAAAGTCGTTCCTTCTTACCTCAGCTTTGCCCTTGGTTGAGGAACTACCTTCCACTCGGGTCTTGTTTTAGCCCCAGCACGTTTCTTAGCCCTGGTGGGCGCACTGGAGCCCGTTAAATCCTAAGCAATACCCTCCGGGTTCCTTCTATCCGGCATTTGCGGCTGTCGTCACTGCTCTGACTCTACTTTGCCTTCTTCATCTGCTCTCTCTCCCAAGGACTAAGGTCGTCCACAATCTTAGCCGATAGCCTCTGCAGTATTCTTCTAGCATTGCGGAGCTTGTTACGCTCCGCAATGAAGATTAATCCTGCTGAAGCCAATTTCACTGGCGGTTTAGGTCCTTGTGTCAACCTCCCCTCAGAGCGAAACGGAGTTAGTCTTACTAATGATGGCTCCTGTTGACCTTTTGAAGTTTAATTCTGTGCTAATCTCAAAATTGTTCTCATACAGGATTATCGTAGATGATGAAAACCACGACAACGCTCGAATCTCTGTCTCGGTATTGCATTCAGTAGCACTACGTTCCTCAAGGTCTGTTTCCACCTTGAAGCCCGATTATCCTGGGGCCAAGCCCTCCGCGCCCGTTATAGGTCCGAACGACACTTATTCTGATATCCCAGCATAAGTTTATCACCACCTTCTGCACTAATTCCTGACATTCTTAATAATTGGGTTGTGAAATTCTCAAAACATCTGATGTCTCTGATTAAAAGCTGACATTATTTATTATTCCGATTTTTCGAACTTTATTTATTATATTTTTGTGTTTCAATAATATAAAGTATAAAAGAAAGACGTGCTTTTGTTATACAAAAATTTTTTACAAAAAAATATTTTACAAAAAATATTAAAATAGGGCTATTTCATGGCAAAAGGTTCCAATATCAGATCTTTGTGAGACTCTACACTTTTTTTTTCTACTGGGTGAAAAATCGAAAGACGAAGAAGGACGGCTCTATCTGCCTTTTTCCACCGACAGTGGGGGAGCGTGACTCCTACCCCAAAAAATCACCTAAACTCTGAACTGATAAAACTGGTCGTACAGACCAACGCTAACTTGATTACCTCCGCGCTAACTTGATTTTTCCGTGCAGGAATGAAATACCTTCCATAAGGAAATTGGTACTTTGTGTTGAATCGAATAGTCTTGTTCGTTTAAGTCTTTCTGTCATAACGCCATTGTCTAGCAGCGGAGCTGGTTCCATATTTACATGCTGTTCTAGACGAGCCCTATAACTTGTAGCACAACTCCTAATTTCATTCACAACCAAAGGAACTCCTAAGTCCCTGTGGATATCACTGTTACGTATATATCATGGCGCATTTACCATGCCCCGTAGAACTTTATTCTAGAAGGTTTGAATTTTGTTAATGTGAGTCTTCTTGGCACAACCCCACAGTTGAATGCCATATCGCCATATTGGTTTTATGATTTGGTTATGAATTAATATCTTATTACCGATTGCCAAACTGGAAAACTTAATTTGTGGTTGATTCACTATTTTCCGATTGGTAACATTTGCCCTAACTTATATGAGTGTCCAGTACTTCGTGAAGGGTACATTCACTTCGGTAAGGAATTTGTAACCACTTGAAGGAGTTGTTTCCGAAATGCACATATATATATATTCCTGCCCAGCGTAAAATTCTGCGTTGATTTAGACATGTTCGTCCGCCCGATCGCACGATAACTCAAAAACGAATAATGCAATCGACACCAAACTTTCACAAGTTGCTTCTTTTGCGCAAGCGACGGCTGCTATTCGAGTTCGGACAACGGGTTCGGGTAGCTGCCATTCAACTTAAAGATGTTTTTTTAAATATTTCAAAAAGTAATTAAAATATCAATATCAAATTTTGCAAGGATGTATCCAATTATACTCTACATATGTTCTTTAGTGGAATGGCTGCACTGGTTCGGGTAGCTGCAATACCACTCCAAAAGCTAATTTAAATATTTGGAAAAATAATAAAGTTAAATGTCGTGTGTCCAATTATATGTCACCCTTAAGTTTTGGTGATATGACTTGACGGGTTGGCGTAACTGTCATACAACTCAAAAAGCTATTTTTAAATATTTGTTTCATTGCAACAAATAGTTAAAAAAGGCCATTTTTAGGTTTTTGGGAGGGTATAACTTCTAGAGGGGGGAGATAGGTAAAAATTTTGTTCTACGGAGATAAGTTTCTAGTAAAGATCTATGTACATACCAAATTTCAGCTTTCTATTTTCAAGGTTGTAGAAGTTTTGTAAACAGACACACGGACAGACGGACGGACGGACGGACAGAGTGAAATTAATAAGCACTTTCTTTCAAAATTTTTTTGGAAAAGTGCTAAAAAAAAGAAATTAAAATTGTATTAAGTTCTCGCTTTCATGAGACAGTAACCAAATATTAAAAGAAAAAAAATGTATATTTCATGGCTTTATATGATAATGTAACAAAAATGAATAATAAAATAAAGCATTAAAAAAAAAATGGAGCAGTAATCGCGAAAGACGGTGGAGTTCTGATTTCAGTTAAAAATAAGCTTAATGTCGATCAAGTTAATTTAGATCAATTTTCAATTTTGGAAAAACAACTCAATTAGAAAAATTGAGCTAACTTACAAAAATATCTTCATAATAAATTGTTACATCCCTCCAAATTCTGCTTTTAATGTCTATGAGAATCTATGCCTAGCTATTGATTACATTATTTCTCTCAGCTGATGAAGTATTATTATTTGGAGATTTTAATCATCCAAATTTTCTCTGGATCCCTGATGATGAGGAATGTTACTTAATTCCTAATCAAATAGTAAATGATTCCGAAGCAGTTCTAATTGACAGCTGTAACGCTAATGGCCTTCAACAAATCTCTAATAAACTAAATTATCAGAATAAGCAATTGGATTTAGTTTTTGCTTCTGACTGGTTTAATATAATCTTTCATGATTGTAGTTTACCTTTAGTCAATATTGATAACTATCACCCACCAATTTATTGTTCTTACTTTTATGAAAATAAAACTGAAAGTTTAACTTTGCTAAAACTAATTTTATGGCTTTAAATAATTATCTCCGTTCAATCGACTTCAGCTCTCTTTTTTCAAACTTAGATCTTGAGCAAATGGTTAGTATTTTTTATCAAACTCTTAATCACGCTTTTAATGAATTTACGCCTACTATACGTGATCGGTGTGTAAATTCTTCCCCATCGTGGTTTAATAAAGATTTAAGATAATTGAGGAATAAAAAAATAGAGCATGGAATTTGTATTTAAAACATAAAAATGGATACAATTATAATAAATTTGCTTATCTCTTTAATATCTACAAGGTTAATCTTCAGTCAAAATATGACAATTACCTTACTTATATGGGATATCAAATCAAAACTAATCCGAAATCTTTTTGAATTTCGTTAATTCAAAAAGAAAATGCGATCAATATCCATCTTTTATGAATTATATGGGCGTCTCGTCTAATAATTC